ATCTATCTATCTATCTATCTATCTATCTATCTATCTATCTATCTATCTATCTATCTATCATCTATCTATCTATCATCTATCTATCTATCTATCTATCTATCTATCTATCTATCTATCTATCTATCTATCTATCATCATCTATCTATCTCTACCTACCTATCTCTCTCTATCTCTCTCTCTATCTCTCATCTCTCATCTATCTCTCATCTATCTACCATGTTTCTCACAAAATAAGGCCAGGCCTTTTTTTTTTGAGCCCCGAAAAAAACGGCTAGGTCGTCTTTTCAGGGGTGACTTAATTCCCCCCCTTGCATCCTCATCTAGAGTGCCCCACGGGCAGCCTTGCCACCAGCCGCTCCTAATGGGTGATCATGGCGAAGCGCAGAGCTCCCTACTCCCACCAAACACCTTTGCTGCAGACCCAAGACCTTTGGCACCCGCCGCTGTTGCTTTCCCTTCTGCCCATTCCGCCAACACGTTTGGAGCTGCCGCTTCCGCATTTGGAGCTGCCGCCGCGTTTGGAGCTGCCGCTTCCGCGTTTGGAACCCCACCGCTGTCGGGAGCACTGCCGCTGTTTGGAGCTGCCGCTTCCGTGTTTGGAGTGCCACTGCATTTGGAGTGCCGCCACCATTTGGAGCACTGTCATGTTTGGAGCTGCCACTTCCGCGTTTCGAGCTGCTGCCGTGTTTGGAGTGGCGGCGGCGCTCCAAATGGCGGCGGCGCTCCAAACAGCGGCAGTGCTCCAAACGCGGACATGGCAACTCCAAACAGCAGCAGTGCTCCAAACAGCGGCAGCGCTCCAAACGTGGAAGCGGCAGCTCCAAATGCAGCGGCAGCGCTCCAAATGCAGAAGTGGCAGCTCCAAACGCGGCGGCGGCATGGGCAGAAGGGAAATCAACAGCGGCAGGCGCTGAAGGTCTTGGGTCTGCCACAAAGGTGCTTGGCAGGAGTAGGGAGCTCTCCGCGCTCTGCCATGATCGCCCATTAGGAGCAGCTGGTGGCGAGGAATTGCTGCCCGCGGGCGCTCCTAACGGCAAGTCCCTCCGCCCTTCCCCCTTATTTTGCATGTTTTAAAATAGGCCTAAATTTGGGGGAGGGGCTTAATTTGATTTTATGCCAATAAAACATGCTGGGCCTTCCTATTGGTGGAGGCCGTATTGTTGGAGAAACACGGTATCTATCTATCTATCTATCTATCTATCTATCTATCTATCTATCTATCTATCTATCTATCTGTCATCTATCTGTCTGTCTGTCTATCTATCATCTATCTATCTATCAATCATCTAAGCCATGGAGACTCAGTGATTAGAATGCAGTATCGCAAGCTAACTCTCTGCTCACTGCTAGTAGTTTGACCCTGATCAACTCAAGATTCAGCCTCAGCCTCCCATCCTTCCGAGGTGGGTAAAATGAGGACCTAGATTGTTGGGGGCAAATAGGCTGACTCCACAAACTGCTTAGAGAGGGCTCTGAAAGCACTATAAATCAGTATATAAGTCTAAAGGTTAAATGCCAGTGCTATACAGCCAACATCTTTTACCCACTTTTAATTCTGTCACCCCCCTTTTTAACTATGGCAGTTGGATTAAAAATATATAAACTGTTAAGCTCCACAAAAATGCTTAAGGGATCCATTTAGTTACTCTTTTTAAAGAAACCTGTTGATAATTTTTAGTCATTTGTAACCAGCTTTGGCCTCCTGCATGTGCACGTGGTACCGCCAAAGGGGCGAAGCATCAGCAGACAGGCTGGCGTGCCCTCAGTCCCCACCCTGAAATGTTAGCCATGGGCCTGGGATTTCACGGCTGCCTGCAGATCCCCTCAGGAAAACGTTTCATTTTTTTCAAGCTATGATTAGATTGGAGTCTTCTTATCTCACAGCAAATCATATTTATTATTTTGCAACATTTCAGAGTGCCCTGCGATTGGAAAGATGCAGTATAGAAATATTTAGTCATCTGCAAGGCAAGGGGATCAAAGGAGAGGCATTGTACAACCCCCCCCCCCAAAAGGTACAGATTGGGTCCATTATGTTTACACACGTTATATACAGAGAAAGTTCAAATATTTCTAGAATTCGGAGGAAAGCAAAAACTTGTCTATTTGTGAACTTTTTCTTGCTTCTGAATCTCCTTCCAGACATTAGTTGCTTATCTATGACATAAACACAGGACCTTTTTTTAAGATATGAAACTTTCATTTTATTAATTCAAATGACATCATTTGCATTTACAACATTCATTGCATAAACTTGGACATATAAAGTTTTCCACCTCTGGATAATAACAGACATTTAGGGTACAAGTTATTGGTTGGATACATGTTCAAACAAATATTTGGGTACAACATCTTGTCAATAGTACATAACTTTTTTTTTCTTTTTGTATTTTATAGCTACTAAAGACACAGTTCCATTAGCTACTTTGGGTCTCAGGACAGTTTGTCTAAAGGGGACATAAAGCACAGAAAAAGGGAGAGAGAAAGAGAGAGATGAGTTGCTAGCTGTAATGGTTATACAATCTTTACACACAACCCTCTTTGCATTTTAAAAAAATCAAACTCTGCTAGTGTGAATCAACTGTACGCTGTCAAACAACCCCCAGACATTCATCGCCGCTCTCTGTGATGTAGGGAAGTGTCCATGCAACACACCAAGAAAAAGAACAAAGGCGAAAGAAATAAAGAGGGGAAACAAGAAACCCAGGAAACCCCTAATGAATATCCAACAGTCATCGCCTTTCATCGTACTCTGTAACTACAGCTCTGCTATTGGAACATAAATGGAGGGGGGGGGAACAACCACCCCGGCCCCACCCTGAAAAAGTGGCTGGAAAGTATTTTTCAAGTGCAGTTCCAGCTGCAAATGAGTAGCGTATTTATTATTGTTATTTTTATTCCTGTTGTTCGGTAATAGTAGTTTGACATTTGAGAGGTAAAAGTTCTCATCTTGCAGTTTTAACTCAGGTTATAATCCTCTCCATTTCTGGTTTGGCAGTTGCTCCGTTTTGAAACTTCCCTTTTGATTGTTTTATATACGTTCCCTGACAGCCTTCGGCTCTCGGCGGTTTGCTGTGCGTGAAGCCTTCCGTCCCATCTCCGCAGCCCCCAAAAGGACTATAACTCGTCAGACCTGATGACGTGGAAAAGGGTGACATTGTACAGTATCTGGTGGCCATTGTTCCAAGCGTAGAGGGCTCGGTCCTTGGGGTTGTAGTCCAGCATGGAAATGTGCGAGTACTTGTTTAGGAATGGGATGTCTATGTATTCGTAAGTGGAGCTGTTGGTCTGGTAAGCGTACGTCACCTTGGTCCCTCCCGAGTAGCCATTGGTGACGTATAATGTGCCGCAGATGATGAACCCTTCGCCGGCACTGCGCTTGGGGTAACTCGTGTTCCAGGTCTGGAGGCTCTGCAAGGTGTTGGGGTCCAGCTTGCTGATGACAATGTTCCCTGCATTTTGGTTGGTGGCGTACACGGCCCACAGCCCGTTCTCGTCCACCATGAGGTCGATGTCTGAGTGGCCTCCCCAGGCGTAATGGTAGACGTTATTGTAGCCGGCGTAGTCCAGGCTACGGGTTTTAAGGATGGTCTCCGTTTTCAAGTCAAACCTGATGATGATGTGGCTTTGGTATTTGTTGAAATAAATTGAGCCATTGTAGACCACTTGGCCGGTGCCGGACCATGGGTGTGGAAGGCGGTGAGAGGTGAAGTTATCCGTGTTCATGAAGTCTGACATGGATTTGTACTCGCGGACGAATCGGTTGTTATGATAACTGTCCATGTACCACACCTAGGGAAGAGCAGCAGAACACAGAGAAGGAGTTATTTATTTATTAACTAATTATTTATAAACTGTTTCAATCCTTCCCTCAAAATGATGCTATAGAGCACTGCCCACCAGAACAATTAGACACAAGGACGGTTTTTTCCTGAACGCCATCACTCTGCTAAACAAATCATTCCCTCAACACTGTCCAACTATTACAAAGTCTGCACTACTATTACTATTAATCTTCTCATCACTCCTCATCACTCCTTGTCACCCATCCCCTCCCACTTGTGACTGTATGACTGTTACTTTGTCGCTTGTCTCCTTATGATTTATATTGGCTGTTTCCTAGTATGATTTGATTGCTTATTGTCCCCTATGACTGTTATAAAGTGTTGTACCTGATGATTCTTGACTCTTGACGAATGTCTCTTTTTGTTTATGTACACTGAGAACATTTGCACCAAAACCAATTCCTTGTGTCCAATCACATTTGGCCAATAAAGAATTCTGTTCTGTTCTGTTCTGTTCTATTCTATTCTAATCTATTCTATTTGGCGTATGGCAAATACTTGGACTTATAGTGGTTCAAATGCTAATGTCCAGTCCACCCAGCCATTCAAGGAGAGGGTGGTCTATGTTGAGAAAAATCAGACATTGGGCCGGTGTAAGCTCTTGATGGACATTTGGACACAACGGGATGGATATTTTGTCAAGGAGCACCCCCGTCTGAGGGGTAGAGACAAGACCCCACTTAAACAAGGAGTCCTGGCAGACACCATGTTGGGTACGGATCCTGTTACAGAGATCCTTGGTTAACCACCATGTTGGGTTGGTTACATGGCACTCAACAGAGACTTGCCAGGCCCTGCTGGTTTCACTTGGTCCTCTGTCTTTTGTCTGCTCCCTTGGTCTCCCACCCCTTCAGATGTGCCAGGAAAAGATAAACCAGAACTACTGTATTTTTCGCAGTATAAGATGCTCCGAAGTATAAGATGCACCGAGCTTTTGGGGAGGAAAACAAGGGGGAAAAAATCTGCCTCTGCCTCCCAACAATTTGCCTCCTTGCAGCAAATAGGAAACAGCCTGTTTCAGCTTCAGCACAACCTGATTAGCACAAGCAGCTGATTGTCAGTTGGATCTGCGTCTCCCGTTGATCAGCTGTCCCAGGCTGCAGGGATTGCTGCCTCCGCGCGCCCCGTTTTGCATTCTATTTTCAGCCTGTTTTCGGCCTCTTTGTGACCCATTTTCTGCCCATTCTGGGCAGCGGGGATCAGAACGGTAGAAAAATGGGGCATGTTGAGGCGGAAATAGGCAATGGTGATCCCTGCAGCCTGAAACAGCTGATCATCGGAAAGCTGATCCAACTGACCATCAGCTGCTTGTGCTAATCATGCTGTGCTGAAGCTGAAACAGGCTGTTTGCTCTTTGCTGCAAGGAGACAAATAGCTGGGAGGGGCCAGTGGGTGGGTGGGGCTTTGGCAACATTCACTGTATAAGATGCACACTTAGACCCACTTTTTGGGGGGTGGGGGGGGGAATGCAAAAAATATGGTAACTGGAAACAGGCAGACAAGCATTGTGGCTGCCAAGCCCATCACATGAACTGTGCCCCCAGTGAGGAGGGACAAGACCTCTGTCCTCTGCCCCTATTGGAAGGCTTGCTACTGGCCTGTCCAACAAGCCCAGGGGGGGGGGTCAGTGTGAAGGACCGAGAGCAGCAGGATTCCCAGTGGGTTTGGGCAATGCCGCTCCTCTCCTTGGAAGCCCTGTTCTGCTCCTAGCCTTACCGCCCAGTTCACCGCCTCAAAGGCAGGCACAAGGAAATGACCCTACCTTGCTTTCACCCTCGGGGGCCAAGGGGTCCGTCATCCAGGAGCCAAACCTTGAGCCGGAGGTCTTTACGGTGATGGGGTCGCTTATTGCAGTCAGTTTCCCACAGGCTGCAAGATAGTGGAACACAACAATAGTAAGCAAGGCCTGCAATTCCCTCCCCACCCTCCACTTTATGGCCGGCATCATTCTGAGTCAAAATGTCAAAAGATTTTCTTGTCCTGGGAAAAGAGGCTTCTGGGTGTTTCCTAAATCCTATTTACGGCGCTTTCCCGTTTCTTTGAATGGTCGTTCAGAGTATTCTTCGCTAGCCAGGGAAAGTGGCTGAGAGGCCAGAAGAACTGAATGGGGTTTTTTTTGGGGGGGGGGGGGATATTGCACTGTTACAGGGTGTCCTGGCGAGGAGCTCTTGATGTGCACAGAGGGCCCATTGAAAGAGGAAAGAGCCGTCTCCTCATATATAGGGAGGAAGCAAAGCCAGAACAGCTGCCGCTCACCCTGGAATAGAGCCGGATCTACACAGAATGACAGAGTTGAAAGGGACCTTGGAGGTCTTCTAGTCCAACCTCCTGCTTGAGCTGGAGACCTTATACCCTTTCAGACAAGTGAGAGCCCAGTCTCTTCCGAAAAACCTCCAGTGATGAAGCACCCACGGTTTCCGGAGGCCAGCTGATCCACTGGTTCATCGGCCTCCCTGTGAGGAAGTTCCTCTTTAATTCCAGGTTGCTTCTCTCCCTCGTTAGATGGAGGTTCTCAGTCATCCAGGCCAGGGTTGTCCCGAAGGTGCCTTTTTTTCCCCCCAAGAGGCAACCTGACTTTGATCACAGATAAAACTCCAGGTGGTCTCAAAGGCTGCAAATGACCAGCTGCCTGCAAGGAGTATAAATCCTTCCCTTCCCCACCGTCCTATCAGAGCTGAAGAAGCTTCTTGGAGGAGAAGCGAAACGTCTTCAAAGAAAAACAAATAAAGTCCAGTTGCTTCTTGGAGAGAAAAAAAAGCACCTTTCTTCATTAATTTCCATCCATTGTTTGTTCTCTTGTCTTCTGGTGCCTTGGAAAACAGTTTGACCCCCCCTCCTCTTTGTGGCAGCCCCTCAAATATTGGAAGAAACACTGGAACCTACAGGGAACCCTAGACTTATAACAGTTCTCTGCCCATCTGTGATTTTCTTGGCTGCCTCTGCACTCTGGTCAGGAAAAGGCCCTGGGGGGAGAAGTCCTTCTGGCTGCCTTCCCTGGCACTGAACAGTCACTAGGGCAGCCAGGTGACTAGAGAGAAGAAGCAGGGTGTAACAATAGGCAAGACCTGTCTTTGGTGCCTCCTCCAAAACAGGTGCAAGACCTCCACACTCCACGAAAGAGATCCTGGCCCAAAGTGTGTTCTTCACAAAAGATTAGCATCGCCAAATGCTAGAGATGGAGAAGAGCTCCCAGAATCTGTCTGAAGACCCGTCGTGCAAGTGAGCTCACCACTTCTTGAGAGCAAGTTCTTCATTTCAAACACAGGGAGAAGTCATATCCTTTTAAAATATTTTCTTCAATGGAAGCTACCAGCTCTCAAGAAAATAGCTTCTGCATGGCATAAGGGGACAGTGTTCCATCTCAGCGGTCATCACAAAGAGTGGGGCTTTCATACACCTGTTTTGGGAGGTCCAGGAACATCACCCCATCCCTAAGAAGAAGCCGATAGCTGAATGTGTGAGTGTATTTGGTCTTAGACATTAGGATTTGATACTGAATTCAGCTTTGTAACCATTAGGGCTATTTAGGAAGAACTGCATCGTATTTCTGAAGACTCAGAAATATATAATGCCCAATACACAATGATATAGGTATCCCTCAGGCTCTAATTACAATTTGCTAAAAGCGACATCAAGAAATGGCAAATAGTGATATGATCTCTGCTTTTCGGATTAAAAGTTCTCCACCCTCCTATCTTTATGTATTTCAGGAACATCGCCTTCAATAAGCAATAATTGTAAGTTCCTTGGATCTCAGATGAGTTGACAAAGATCTACCATGGGTTTGGGTTTCTGTTTATCGCCCTACTTGAGAAAAATTGGCTCCGCCAATTATGGATTGCTGTCAGAACAACAGTCCAAGAATGAATGTTTTCAGTGGGAATAAGTAAGCGAACGTTGGCACATAATGCAATATAATAAAGCAAAATGGAAAGATTGCATTTTAGGTCTCTTGAGGAAGTCTTGCACACTTCTTTCTTCTAGCCTACCAGATGTCAAATTCATCGAGCAGGGGGTCCTGTTGGAGCAAGGACTTGAAGACCTGCAAGGCTCTTCCAACTCTGTCAGTGCTGTGATTCTATGGTTCATTTCTGGGCTATCCAGTGTTAAAGAGCAGTAAAATGGCAGCCCTCTGGAGCCAATACAGGGGTTATGGGAAGAGATATATCCCCTTCTCTGGGGTTAGCAAGATCAATCAAATATGTGGAATCCTGGTCTGATTTTTAATCTGTGTACTACCATGTACCCTTGCATCTGTAACCTTTAAATGGGTAAAAAATAAAGGCAAAACTTTTTGAGCTAAGGTCTCTCAAATGGGCTAACTTACAGAATGTATCCAAAATCTGGGACCCATGAACTCCGTGGGATAGAAATTTGGCCAACGTTATAAAACCGCTCTGAATTTGAAAGGATGATGATGTTATCGTAAGGCATTTTGTGACGTAATAGAAAATGCCATCTAACGTTTCCCGTAGCTCACTCCCACCGTTTGTGCTATTAAGTTCCACAGGGCTCCTTCCAAGGCAGAGGCGATCTCTGAATTCTACAAGAACTTTCCAAGTCCATTCGAAGCTCTGCCGCGGAGAAATCTCCTTGAAGCCATGGGACCCACAAAGGCCAACTGCATTTCATAGCGGCTCCCCACCTCCAAGAGAGGCCCAGAAAAGAAAGCAATCACCCTGCCATCTCCTCCCTACTTACCTGGCATAAACCTTCCCAATGCTTAAACTGGAAATCCCATGTAAGAGGGCCACATGGAGGTCATTTAGGAAAGGTAAAGCTTCCCCTCACACATACGCTAGTCGTTTCCGGCTCTAGGGGGACTCATCTCCGTCACAAAGCTGAAGAAGAGCCAGCACTGTCCGAGGACGTCTCCGTGGTCATGTGGCCGGCATGACTAAACGCCAAAGAAGGCGCACGGAACGCTGTTCCCTTCCCACCAAAGGGGTCCCTCTTTTTCTATTTGCATTTTTTACGTGCTTTTGAACTGCTAGGTTTTAGCAGAAGCTGGGACAAGGAACGGGAGCTCGCTCCGTGACACGGCGCTAGGGATTCGAACCGCCAAACGGCCGACCTTTCTGATCGACAAGCTCAGCGTCTTAGTCCCTGAGCCACCGCGTCCCCTTGGAGATCGTTTAGCTCGCTTGATTTCTGGCAAATTTGTTCCTCTCGATCTGCTTAATGGGACATTTCCCTTGACCAAGACCTGGCTAGTCCTGGCACAAGACCCTGCCCCACAATTCTGAAACACTCCCCTGACTTTCCCGATGGAAAAGAGCCCTGGTTATTGGATCCAGGGCTTTCCGAGCGGTGGATTCTCAAGTTACCAAGAAGTTATCACCCAAGAAGTCAGGTGGCTTCACCAGATGCACCTTCTTGAGGTGGCAATAGGGCAGTGGTTTTAATTATTGGTGTTTATGTTTGCAGCCATTGAATTAATCTTATCTCTGAATATTTTCCCCCCACTGGTAGCTGTTTGGAGCCTTGTTTTTCTTTTTGTTGTTTAGATGTTAGCCGAAGATTTACTGCTGACGGTGCTTTGAACAGCAGGATGTAAAACCAGTGCTAGTGACAGTATTTAGACTCCGGGATTTGCTGGGTTTGGAATCTTGGCTTGTGACACCTGGGGATAGATGTGAGCTTGTGCAGAGGCCAAAAGCCCCCCTCCCCCGTTTTTCCTACCCTCCACTTTTGGTCAGCGGTGTCTCATCCCACCTCCCTTCCCCATGCATATTCCAAATGGAAGACTCCTGCCCCAGTGGTCCTTCTGGAAAGCCCCCTAGGTTGGCCTGGGGTGGCAGAATGGCCCTCATCCATCCATCCATCCATCCATCCATCCATCCATCCATCCATCCATCCATCCTCCCTGAGGTGGGCAAGGCTCCATGTGTCTCCCCTGGCCTCTCTCTTACAGGGACTCAACCCGAGGGCCACAAGAGAGCCTTCCTCTGGGCCTCCTTGGCAGGCTGCAGTGGAACCCCCTTCTGCCTGGGGCTGAACTCCGCGGTGCCAGGGCACCAACTGAGTTCGGGGTGTGGGGTGGGGAGTGGGGTGAGGAAGGGGAGGGGAGGGAGGGCAATTCCTGCAACTCTGGCCAGCCTGGGTGTCCGGTGGGAGCAGAACAGCCCAGAGGGTGAGGACACCCTGCCCCTCGGGGGCCGGTGCGTCTCCTACCTAATTTCTGCATGCATGCCCGCAGCCTCTCTTCAAGATTTGACACTCTGCTCTGGAGCTCTTCGTAGTCAAAGGCGCCAATTTCCTCCTGGAGCTCGTTTAGAACCGACGTCAGGTTCTGCACCTCTTCCTTAAACTGCAAAACCAATTTGGCATCGGCTTTGTACTCCTCCAAGACTGGGATCAAGGGCCTAAGCTCCTCCATTTTCGCTTTTATTGCCTGCAAGGTTAAAATAAGCTTGGTTTCAGTGCTCTGCACGCAAGAGTGACCCCCACCCAACCACCCTCCCCCCACTCTCTCTCTCTCTCTCTCTCTCTCTGCACTGGGCTGCTGTTGCTCCCTTCGGGGTGCACCACAAAGGGCTGCCATTATTAGTATTATCAACGCTTGTGGGGAGCGTGGAAATTCAAATGGGAGAAATATATATATATATGCATATTGTCAGCCTGACACATATATTAAACAGTCTGAAAAACACCGACTTATTTGGGAAAAAAGGCCTTTATTTTGATTTTTTTTTCTGTTTTTAGAATGCAACATCTTAAGGTTACATGCTTCGGTCACATACACAAATTCTTTTTTTTTTCTTTTCCATAAAAGAATGATGATGGTCAGGATGAGGAGGAGGATAATAATAATAATAATAATAACCAACGCATTGACAAGGAGTTTCAAAAGTAGTGAATGAGATGTATTTCTACAAGTTCCATGCAAAAGACAAGCTTTCAGCGGAGTGGCTCTGGCAAGGATGGGAATTGGGGAGAAAAAATAAAAAAATAAAAACGAAACCAGGATCGGAGAACTCAAGAAAAAGACCAACTCAAAGGGTGCTGGGGAAAGCTGTCTGCCCTCTCTCTGTGTGTGTTTTTCATGGTTACATGTGGGGGGGGGATGAACACCTTCTTCAGCCAGTGCGACATTGTAAAACTTTCTCTTAAGTTAGCCCTGCAAGCAAGAAGACGAAACACTCAAGTCCCAGAGGTTTACTCAGACGTTAACACAGTTTGCATCCCAGCCGTGGCCCTGATGACCCCCCCGCTCCCCAGAGACCTCCTCCCCAAGGCCGGTGCACCACTGAGGGCCAAATCACTGGCGGGGGGGAGGGGGGGAAATAGCAGCTTCTGGCCACCACTAAGGGCCAACTCGTGGGTGGGTGGGTGGGTGGTGGAAGCTCCTGGCCATTCCCCCCTCCCCCTGTCCTCTCAGCTGCCTCCCTTGGCATGGCCCAATCCCTCCCCATTGGCAGGAAGCCCCTCTGCCCTTGCTGACCGCATGGTGGCCCTGCCATGGAAAGGAGGGGAAGCCCCCCACCGCTCCCCAAGATCTCCAAGCAAGGGGGCGTGGCTCCAGGCCCCTGGGGAGTTGGGGCCTTCCCTGCTTGGGTCTCTGCTTTGGGAGCCCACGTCCTCAGCAGGCGGAGAGTTTGCCCGCAGGGCTCGGCCTCCCTTTTCCTGCAGAGGACGGGGACGATTGGGGGACCCCCTTGTGAGACAGGAAGGATTGTGGGGGAGAGGGCAGCATTTTGTGTCTAGGGGAGCCAGGAATGAACAGGAGCCCCCCTTTCAAGCAGCAAGTCCGCTGGGGGAGAAAGAGGCTTTTGGTCTTGTGAGCCTGGCCTGCAAATGTTAAGGGGAAACCCTTTGGATTCTTCGCTTCGTTTGCAGTTTTAGTCCTCTCTTTCTCTCCCCTCTTCCTCTCTCCCCTTCTATCTGCTGCTATCCAGGATCAAACTCCTGATTGTGAGGCGAGAAGCAGAGCAGTTTCATAATGGAACAGGTTCTCCAGAGGAGGAAGGGCGGGCTCCGCTTCACTGGGTGGACTGAAAAGAACCAGAGCCTGGACAGCCACCTCTCAAGAATGCCTGAATTTGGGGCTCTGTTTTCACTGCATTTCACGGAGGCCTCCAAGTGCCACCGGGAGACCATTCTGATGAGAGGCGCAGACCGTCCCAGCCCCAGGCAGAAACACGAGGGGCACTGCATCCACAGGTCACCTTCATTCATAGCTCAGAAAAGCCACGGGTCAATGGAAGGGCCCAGTTGGAGCCTCAAAGCTATGGAGGGGGGGGGGGGTTCCCATTTGGCTTCCTACACTGAGCTAGGGGTGGGTTGGACGCAGGGGTGGGATTCAAATTTCTTATCAACCGGTTCTGTGGGCGTGGCCTAATTTGTGGCTTGGTGGTCATGTGACTGGCTGGGCGTGGCTTGTATGTAAATATTATAAATATTGATGTAAATATTGAATTTTTAAATAAAAAAAGCAACTTTTACCCAAATTCAGGCAAAGCAGGCAGGCAGATTGAGTTGCTCACAGAATCACAGATTCACTTCGAGACCTATCTTTCTGCAATCTGCTACCTGTCATATAAAATTTGCTTGCAAGCAAACTCACAAAATTAACTCACAACGCACCATATATGTAAATATTGATTTTTTTTTATTAAAAAAAGAGCAACTTTTACCCAAATCAGGCAAAGCAGGTAGGCAGATGGAGTTGCTCACAGAATCACAGATTCACTCAGAGATCTACCTTTCTGCCATTTGCTACCTGAGTCTGCACTGAAGAATGGAAGCTTCGGTCCTAAGGAAGGTTCAGCTCTGCTTTTAGATTAGCTAGAGCAGTGGCCCCCAGCCTTTTTTGTGCCACGGCCTGGTACCGGCATCACAAAATGATCCGCGGCCCGGTACCGGCATCAGCACGCATGACAAGGCAAGGCGAGCCGAGCAACCGGCCAGCCAGCCGTCCCCCGCTTCTCCCCGCCACCTTCAACTCCTCCTTTGTACCTTTTTTGTGCTTTCTTAATCTCCTCCACCATCGGGACGGCTGTTCGTTCGAAGCCGCACCCCCCTCTTTGATGAAACTAAGGCACGAGCATTCCTTCAGGACCCAAACGCCGCTTTCCAACCGGAAAAGCTCACCCGGAAGCACTTTCTCGTCGAAACAAGATGGCGGCACCCAGCAAACCGGCGGCCCGGTAGAAAATGATCCACGGACCGGTACCGGTCCGGGGCCCTGTGGTTGGGGACCCCTGAGCTAGAGAGCAAGAAATCCAACAATTTCCTGCTTTCTAGCTAATCTCAATCTCCCAGCACAGCAGAACAGCTGATGGTCGGGGGGAAAAAAAGGAAAAATAGCAACTTACCAAAGGCAGGCAAGTTTTGACGGCTCGCATGCCAGGTAAGGAGTGAGTGGGCGGGGCGGGACCAGCCGGTTCTCCAAACTGCGCAGAATCGTAACAACCGGTTCTATAGAACCGGTCTGACCAGGAAGAATCCCACCCCTGGTTGGACATCTCCAAGAGTCCCTTCCAGCTTCAGGATTCCATGTACAATATTAAACTCCCAGTTAGATTTTGAAACTGAAAAGGGCTTCTTTCATTCATTTCATCAGTTTTACTTGGCACAAAATCTTATGGACCTTAGCAAATTCTACAGGTAGGTGTGTGCTTTTGTGGGAACGAAAGATCTACTCAATGGGAACCAGTTCAGGGAGGAAAGGTGGAGAGATATGAAAACTTTTGAGGGACAACATTTTTGCGGAGAGGTAGAAAAATAAGGTTATTGGGTAAATTTCTGTGGCAGAGGTATCCACACTTGGCAACTTTAAGACTTGTGGACTTCAACTCCCAGAATTCCTCAGCCAGCTGTTGTTTGGGGACCCCTGGTCTATGGAGATTCTCAATCATCATAATTGTCTAAAAGATGCTTTTTCCAAAAGGCAAGTAAACTTTCTTGGGGTTTTTTCTCTGCATACACATTTCAAAGTTTCTTGGATGAGAAGTGAAACGTCTTCAAACCAAGAAAGTCCCGTTGTCTTTTGAAAAAGAAAAAAAAGGACCTTCCAGGCTGGGTTATTGGGTCATGTCCCTCTCCCCATCATGTCAACTGTTTAATGGCAGCCAAAGGAGTGGATTTTAGTAGGAAAAGTCAATTTAGAAAGGCTGATAAGGAGAAAAAATGGCAGCCCAACAATCTGACCCTTGGATTTTAAAAGCCGTTCAATTCATCCCAATTTTCCAAGGATGCCTTTAAGCAAAGGAAAAGGAGGCTTCCTGGGAAAACTCTCCGTGAATTGCAGTGGAAATCAAAGCTGCCCAAAGTCCTTTCCATTCCACCTCTGTGCTGAGCTTCAGCCACCATTTTTGTGAGCAAGAGCAGTCCCACCATGGGAGGGGAAACCCAACCGTTCCTAGACACACACACTCCCTGCAGTTTGGAAAATGGTGCCTAAGAGGCCCTCAACCTTCCCCCAAATTCTGCCCATTCTGTCCTTCCTGGGCCCAAGAGGTCTACTTACCTTAAACTGTCTGGCCAGGTGTTGCTTATGACTCTCCTCCACTTGCTTGAACTTGGATTCCAGGCCTCTCATTTGATTTTCCATTTTCTCCACATACTGAAGATCCCGTTGAGTCCGCCTGTCCAAGACTTCTATTGACTGGGACATGTTTTGTACCTGTGGAGCAACCAGGTGCGAGGGAAGAGGGGGGGGGGGAAACCAAGAGAAAAGGAGTCATTAAAGTAAGAGGGACATAAAGAGGAGCTTGACAAAAATCTCTTTGCCATGATCAAGGAAAGTGAGAGCAGAAATAACGGATACAAGTTGCAGCTACCTAGATTTCTTTTGAATTTAAGGAAGAATGTACTGAAAATAACAATTGTCCAATAGTGGAACTGTCTATCTAGAGAGCAGGCAGATTCTCCAACTCTGGAAGTTTTTAAGAAGTTGGACAGTCACCTCTTGGTAATAGCTTAATTGATTTTCCTGAACATGGTAAGAGAGTAATTCAACAATTTACAGTTTTAGGATAACAGGATATGTGCAATACGGCTTGTGGAAAATGGCTTAAACTTTCAATGACAAGATAGCAATAGCACTTAGACTTATATACCGCTTTATAGTGCTTTCCAGCCCTCTCTAAGCGGTTTACAGAGTCAGCCTCTTGCCCCCAACAATCTGGGTCCTCATTTTACCCACCTCAGAAGGACGGAAGGCTGAGTCCAGCCTTGAGCCTGGTGACATTCGAACTGCCAAATTGCAGGCAGTCGGCAGTCAGTAGAAGTAGCCTGCAGTACTGCACTCTGACCACTGCACCACCATGGTTCATGGGGATGGGGAAAAATGGCAACCAGGTTTGTAGCTCAGTAAATTCAAAGGCTATAGTTCTGTCCTTCTTGGCCTGCTTGTAAGCCCCATGATACTTGCTTACTCCCAAGTAGAAAAAAGTAAAGTCTCCACTTGGATGAAGGGACAGAAGGACAAACGTTGATTAAATGACAAAATGAGATTTTGTGCATAACAATGCTCGGTAAAGCCTGCCACTGTTTGAAATCAAAGTGACATCTGTTACAAAGCCCAATTGAGCTCCATGAAACTGAGGGGTTCACCTTATACAGGTGTAGGTGTACAGTTGTTATTCAGTGCAGCCAAAGAAAGCAAGGCAGTCAGACGGAGGTAAGGTTCTTGTTGTAACAGTTTGTATTATTATAATAATATTCGTGTGTGTGTGTATCATCAAATAATGCTACAATTTACAGGTGGGATGCTGGAATTCATTCATTATTGATTTTAATTATAAGCTGTCTAATCCAAAAGTATCTTAGGGCAGCATTTTTTAAAAATGTATTACATAAACTACACTGGAAATAAATCAGTAATGAACAAGAAAAATAACAAGGCTCCACTCCAGGGGAATATAAGTAGAATTGACCAAGGCTCTGCTTTCAGCTTCTAAATAAGTCCTGGACAGAGGTCTGCTGGAAAAGCCAGAGTTTAAAAGCTTTCTAGATAAGGCGGGAGGAATCTGCTACTCCAAAGAGTAGCCACACATCTCTCAGATCACATAAGGTGGTACAGTTTGATTGACAGGCCTGAAATATGCCAACAGGGCTAGAGCTTAGAAAATCTAGGATCAATTGGATACGTCCAAATTGTCTCTCAGATTGCTAACGATCGTTGGCATGCATATGTTTTGCTGCCAACATGCCAGTCCATCCACCCCTCTATCAACTGCTTCATTTACAGCAATTGGCAGGGTAAAAAAGATGTCAAGACTCTAGAAAGATGCAGAGCAGAACCAGGAGGATGAGGGGACTGGAGGCTCAAACATACGAAGAACCGTTGCAGGAACTGGGCCTGGCTAGTCTAGGGAAGAGAAGGACCAGGGGAGACAGGAGAGCAGCCTTCCAGGCTACCATAGAGAGAAGGAAGGGGCCAAGCTATTTTCCAAGGCACCTGAAGGCCAGACAAGGAACACTGGATGGAAACTGGTCAAGGAGAGATTCAACCTGGAAATAAGGAGGAATTTCCTGAAAGGAGAGCAATCAACCCATGGAACAGAAGTTGTGGGAGCTTCATCCCTGGTGGCTTTCAAGAAGAGACTGGACTGCCATCTGTCAGAAATGGTGCAGGGGGTTGGACTAGATGACCTACAAGGTCCCTTCCAACTCTGTTAATCTATTTCTTTGTTAATTTGGGGGTCTTTTTTTACTTGCAGGTGTTGTTTGAAAATCAGGGGGCAGCTGCAACCAGGAGGGCCTTTGCACAGGGTTCATCTTCGGTGCCACTTGCACCCCTTCCCTGAGGCAGAAGGGCTTTTAGGCAGCCATTCATGACCTGGTCCCCTCATCTTGATTGGATTATAGCAATATATATGGGGCTGCCCTTGAAGGCCACTCAGAAACTACCACTGGTTCAAACCCACCAGTTTAATGTTTTTAGCTATTTTTATGTTTTCTCTAATTTTCAATGTTGCAACAGGCTTTGGGTGGCCAATGCATTTAAATAGATAAATTAAAAAATGATAACAACGCTGTAAAAAAAAAAAGCAAACGCAATCCTCAGCTGAAGCACGGTGTCAAAACCAACAAAGATCTATATTCTGTATTGGTCAGATCACACCTAGAACATCATGTCCCATTCTACATTTTAGGAAAGACACTGGCAAATTGGAGCATGTCCAGAGAAAAGCAATGATGACTTGTGGTGGACATGTGCAAAGGCAAAGAAATACTGGACAAAAGTACATACATGGTTATGTTAAAGCAGCACTTAGATTATGAGCCAGAAATATTTTTGTGAGGCATAGTACCAGAAAAGTATAACAAAGGGAATATATATTTAATATTGCATGTATTGACAGCAGAAAGAATTGTATTTGCACAGCATTGGAAAAATGAGCAAACGCCTACAGAAGATGTAATTTTTAAAAAATTAGATTGTGCAGAAATGGACAGTTTAATATTAAAGGTGGAAGAAAAAGA